CGATACTTTTAGTGCAGCCCTCGTATATTAATTACTACCCTTATGATCTCCTGTATTCAGCAAATAATTATTAAATAAAGTTTCAAAGTTAAATTTAAACTTTCAATTTGTTTATATGAATATGCGTGACTGTCGTGGAACACTCGTTTGGAACGAAGTTCCTCTTGTAATATATTATTATTGATAAACGTATTATATTATTGATTAACAAATACAAATAAATAAATAACTAACGTCTGAGAGCAATTAAATGAAACGGTGGTACGGTTTGAACAGTGGTAGAGCCACGCGGCAGCTTTTGGTGTCGCACGAATGAGCCGGCTCGAACCGGGGTGGTACCACGACCTCACAGAAAATCAGCGTGAAGTAGAGGTTTACCTCTGCGTTTCGCTTGGTCAGTGCAGGTGGCCGGAGGCCCTTTTTACTAGAAATGAGGCATTCCCTTAGTCCTCACGGGTGACAACGCATCTGCATTTTGATTCGCAAACGAGGATAGATGTAGATGTCTATGGGCCGCAGCAACCACTTACCATCAGGTGGACTGTGTGCTCGTTTGTCACCCTTATCCTATAAAAAAAAAAAAACAAAAAAAAACGCAGAAATAACTAATGAATTGAAGGAATGGTAGGAAATTGCGTAATTAATATATTTTTCGAGTTGTGAAAATAAACATCTTATTATTAAACATCATTCAATTCAATTCATCCAATTCATTATAAATTTCATCAGTATATTCTCCATCTGTACATTCAATCGTAGTAATAATTGCTTTGTGGTAACTAAAGTAGGATAAGTATCGTGGGTCTCAAACCATAGGGGCATATCCTTTCGTTACTTTTCAGGAGAGACAAAAAACTTTATAACTTTTCTTGTGATTGAGCCAGCTCCTTGCGTTTTGGCATGTGTTACACTTAAGTTACTATGATTGATTTTAAGGTATGTCCTCTATAGGACTAATTTTTGGTCCTTACGACTATTTGGCATGACGACGAAACGGTAAAAGTACGTCAAAATTCACCTAAAAATGCTTTCAATTTTATGGATGTAAGACATTTTTTTCTGACATTATTAATTATTGTACCAATAGCAATTAGAACATAATTGGTGATTTTAAATATTGCAATTTTAGAATGAGAAACCATCAAAATTAACGTTATTTCCGTGATTTAAAAAAAAATATACGTGTTTGGCTTGTCATTGATATTGAGAGGTGCTTGGTTTCAAAGTATATTTATAAACCATTTTGGTTTATAAATCTACTTTGGTGGTGGTGGTGCCAGTGGTGGTCCACTGTCCACCACCAGCACCAATGATACTACCAGCACCACCGCAATCACTGACACTCAGCACGTACAGCACCACCATCCACCGCTACTAAAACCGCACGATCAGCACCACCGTCCACGATCACCATCACCATCACCAGCACTACTACCACTAACACTAACTGCACCACTGTCTGGCTATTGTATTATTTTCTCTCGAATTTTTTTACATTTACATTTTTGGTCGAGAGCCTCTTGAAACTGTCGGGCGAGCACAGCGTGACACACCATGAACCCCTTCAGCCAGTAGTGATGCAGTCCGTCGAGTCCCGGACTTTTCCAATTCGGGGCCCTACGGACCGCCTCAGCTACGTCATCCGGCGTTATGATGACGGGGTCCATGGGCGTAACATTCGCATACTGACTTGCCACAACTTCCGTCCAAGGGCCCTCGCTGTGGTTTACGGGCTTTGACCACAGGCCGCGCCAGAATGCTATAGTGTCGGCCTGATTCGGTGCTGGGCCCGTTCCACGTGCCAATGGTCGCTCCAGTGATTCATAGAGCCTCTTCTGATCACTCCGGAAGAGACGATTCTGGTTGAACCGTGTCGACCTCTCAGTATATCGCCGAATCCGCTTCCCCCTAGCAGCGATTCTCTGCTTCAGGTCATCTATGCGCTCCGTCAGTTTTTGCGTTATATCCGGCTGGGACAAACTGATATTTGTCCCAGCAAACGCCATCCTGACGGTGCGCACAATTCTCGGCCTATTATTGCCCGACCTGAAGCTTATCAGTCTGCCGATGAGGGCCCTTGCCTTTGCGATACGGTCCTCAATCCTTCTTCTCCAGGCTGGGATGGCGCTACTTTGTCTAGTAGCGCGTCCAGCCGTGGGAACTTTGGCGCCAATAATGCGGCAAACTGCCAGTGCGGCGCCAAAAAGAATTGAGTCCGTCTCGCAAAGGTCCCGGCTGGCTTCCAAATAGGTCACCAGCAATGGGTTGAGAGCCCTCACGACAGCCCGATTCCGCTTGCTTAGGGGCATGCGCGGGAGTCGCGGTCGATTTTCGAGAGGCATACTGCGCGTTTCCAAAATAGCCTCTTCCAATGTACTCCTCATTTGCTCTAGTTCTAGTTCCTGGGCGACTGTTCCATCATCGTCTGAACCAACCATAACTGAAAGATTCACGGCGGCATCCACGTGTGCTGGTTGCTCTGCAACTTGTGGCGCCGCATCCTCAGCCGTAGCATTGTCATCCGATGAGGGTACAGCCTCACGTCGTAGCCGTTCGAGTTCGGTACTATCGAATATGTTTGAGCGCAAGATATACCGAACTCGGTCTGCCAGGTTTTGCTCGGTGACGGTTATAGATGGCTCCAGCTCAGCAAAAAGTCGATGCATCCTAGCCCGATACGCAAAACCTCCAATTTCTCCCCCTTTCGCCCTAAAATACGCCCGCAATGCGTTGCTGTTCATCTGCATTGACCAACGCATGCGGCGTACTCCATCAGTGGCGGGTGCTGATTGCTGGGCCCGCGAAGACCCTGCCAATACCAAGCCAGCTGGTGGGGATGATGGATGCGAGGGGCTGCTAGGTGGTCGTGCAGCACCTCGCACTCGGCTGGCGGCCCGCATGCTGTCGCGTCCAGCGCCAGCTCCAGACGCGCCCCGGCGACCGCCAGGCAGTGGCCCTAAACGCAGTCTATTTCCTTCCATCATCCATAAATTGGGCGTCAATTAACGGGAGACGCCCAGGCCCGGCACCGTTTCATGATTTGGCCGAAAGCACAAGCGGGCCCAAATTAGCACCCTCAATTCTGCCGAGGCACGGCGCTCACACCTCTTGGCAAGATGCTGACTGACTGCGCTGACGTAGCAGTTTTATCACATAACCATTACGTCAACGGGCGATGGGGTCGTCACTTCCCTACGCCTTATTATTATTATGGTATCTATAAAGTTTTCTCATCTGGTTGGGAAATATAAATATATAATTGTAAATAATCATGGTAAACGTACATAAATATCAATAAAATAAAATAAATACATAAAAAATACATAAATATATAAAAACCCAACCAGATGGAAGCCCTCGGCAGGGGAGACCAAACGGCCGAGGGTTAGGGGGAAAGGGAAAGAAACCGGCGGACGATGCGGGCGGTATCGAGGAGCACCGCCTTCTGCATTTGAGCTTGGAGCGGTCCATCACGGAGTCCCAGTCGCCTCAGATGACCCGAGAGGCTGACTGAAATTAACCCATTCGCAGATACAACTACAGGTATAATTTCGGCCGGCAGTCCACCTCACATGTCGGTCATCTCGTGAGCCAGGTCCAGATATTTTGTCAGCTTATCTGTTTCGGCTTTCACGAGGTTCTCGTCATAAGGAATGGTAATGTCGACCAAAAATATCCTTGACTGTGCCCAGTCCATCAGCACAATATCAGGCTTATTCGCAAGAATAGTCCTGTCTGTGATGATGGCCCGGTCCCAGTAGAGCCTGGCGCAGTCATTTTCGAGTACGGCTTTCGGCAAGTACTTATAATACGGCAGTTTCCGATCCACGAGACCATATTTCAGAGCGAGCTCCTGGTGTAGAATCCTGGCTACTAAGTTGTGCCTGTGCAAATACTCAGAGTTAGAAAGCGCCAAACAACCGGAGATGACATGCCTAAGTGACTCACCGGGATGGCGACTCGACGGTGCCATCCTTTAGGATGTATCTCCGATAATTGTTATTATTATTATTATATGGCCTAGAAATTATTTCAGCCTGTCTAGCTTACGACAAATTACATTTTGTAATTTATTTGAAAAGTAATTAATATTAAATTAAAAGAAAAATTGAGATGAGGTATTTCTTAGAGTAGAATCCAATGGCATTAAAATAAAAAAAACACTGTATTGTTTCTATCTAGTCGTAGATTTTGCTGGATGATTTATTAATTTGTAAATGAAATTCACTACAACTAAACTAACAGAATCATGCTTAAATTGAGTAATACAACTGAAATTGGTTATATCACATTCCTCTTCGTAGCTTAACAACGTCTCAGAAAGTTATAAAATGATGATAAACTGAGTCATTTGAATCAATCGAATTTTTACTTTGGACGGAAGGCTTTGGACATTGAGACTACAATGTTATGCCTTTTTTCATATCTATAAAATCAATTATAGTTTGAGCTTTTGTTTGTAGTTTATTCAACGACAGCCTCTTGAACTCTTATAACAAAGATTTGGTTGATGCTGCTTGATCGATTATAATGAAAATGAAATTTAGTTTCATCATTACTAGGTGTAATGATGAATAAGCCTTCGATATTTGTTACACGAGAGAGTGCAACAAAAACAAGTTCATAAACAATTTGATCAAAACTTCCATCTTGTGACTTTATGAATGGTCACAGCACAAGTTGAAATTATAGGAAAGTGTTTTCATTTAAACATAACTTTCTTATCCTTTGTTATAGTACTGTTGGATGTTTGCAATTCAATAGGCACAGCCAGATTACCAACTTTTTCGAACAGCTAATTTGAAGCTGCTTTTTTCTAACTTCTGTCCAATTTAATGTAAAAATAACATTTTTTTTAAGTTTATATTTTTTGGTTTTTTTCATAATTAAGAAGTAATGGGAGGTTACCATCATAAACTAGATAATCTTATCACTGTAGTATGAGAAAAGCCACACAAAAGAAGAAAATGTAGACAGTAACAAAAGAAAGATTAACTAACCTTATCACATTCCTCATCTGGTACTGCAGATTTGACTAGCCTCTTTCCAAAACTATCGATGAATGATGATCTCTTAAAATGTTTAGTGCATAACATTATATGTCTAGAATGAAGCTTGTTATGAAATTCTGAAGACCACCAACATAAATCAGGAAAACAATACTTCGCCCATAATCTACACCTGAAAAAATACAATTAAATAATATACTGAAGTTCTAAAACCATACTTGGAAGAAGAGTATAAAACGAGATTGTTCTTTACGAACAATGCAATTATATTGCAAACATATATGAATATTATGCCACAAGTTTTTAATTTATATTTATTAATTTCTAAGTGTACCAATACATCTCTACCTAATAATAATAATTAGATGTTATGATTTCTGTGATATATCTCATGCTGTTTTGCAAAATTTCTCTTTTAATATTCAGAGTTATTTGCACAAGTTTTTGAATTGCTGTATGTGTATCTTGGGTTTTTTAGCAGATGCGACCCAAAATAATTTTTCAATACACATATTTTTGTCTATTAATACAGTGGTTAAAACTTACATCATTTTGAAACTGTTTTTACCAGTAATCAAAAGACTATTTAGCATACGTACCGTAAGTTATTTGTTCTCCCAGGCTTAGGAAAACGATGCAAGATGATGTTACGATCATGAGCAGGGGAACTTCCACACTTGTAACATTTCATTTTTATTTTTTAACTTTACTTCATTTCATAAAATTGAGTCAATGTCTCTTTAGCACAATGCACAGCACTTGTTCTGGAGTCCCTGTCTCAATGTAAAAATCACTATAACGGAGGAACGGGATGTTCAACTCAATGTATGAAATAAGTTAATATCAAACTATAAACTTAATTTACAACCGTATATAGAGGATTGATTGATTGATTAAGATACTAAGTCTATGTTTACAACCACAGAACACAATTACCATAGAAATTAGAAACAATTACTCTTTAGTTTACAACACAAATATGTAAGCACAGAACCGCAAGAGCGGCAAGAGTAACTTCATAATAACTGGCTTTACGGCTCTGGGCTCTAGCCCTTCTGAGCCTGAAGTTACAATGTATAATTATCCTTCACAGTACACTGCTTTACAATATGTTGATGCGCCACATTGTATAGCCCTTGGGAGATTTTGAAGGCAACTTGAGCCAGCAGACAGCTGACAGTTGGCGATGGTATCTCAAGGCGCCTAAGCAGATAGACACCTTATCTTGAGAACCACATCACAATCAGAGCACTTATTTAACCGTTTCCACTAATAGTTCACATGCGTAGACATTTAATACACAAAATCGCACCACTTTGACATATCAAAATCTACTTCAAACCATTATTTATACAATAATACAGGAGCAGCAACCCCACGCCGGTCAAGATCCCGCACAAAGCCCCTCCCCCGCAAGAGCAAACTAGGTAGATTCTCTATGAGCCAATTGATAGAATCAGACGTTACTGCAAAGTAAATCACTATAACGGAGGAATCCGCAAGGAAATCCATTATAATGGGGTTGTTATAAACTAATTTGCTTGATTCCGCGTAAAGAAAGAAAATGATGTGTCCTGCCCAGTTTTAAGGGGACCTCCCACCCTCCCTCAACCTCCCACCCTCCCTCACTCGCGCGCACTATACCCGTCGCCGTTAATCCCAGCACTACCACCCCCAGCAAATCCAATTTATCCAATGACCACTCCTTTAAAGTCTTACATACTTGTAATAAAAGGCAACGACTGTGTGTGCTGGAACAGTTAGAGATATTAAAAAATAATAACGGTAATGTTGCACTGCTGAATGAACAAACAAATGTTTCCAAATCGCCTCTCTTAAACATGTTTAAGCCTGCTCCTTGATGATATATAGTCTCGCAACATGGTCGTTTGTCACCCTCACGGTGCGGTGGCACAGAGTAAAGAATAAGGACCAGAGGGGAAGCTTCTTAACAACGTCGAAAATGTATACCTATTCTGATAGGGTTGTCACATGTTGCATGTGAAAAATTTAAGGAAAAAATAAAAATATTGTATAGCATAAGACAACATGTGTATTAATTATAACTTATATTAATGTAACAACATATATCTATTAATTGTTCAAAATCAAGAGCTGTTACATATCGATTAATTTTAAACAATAAGGAAAAAATTAAAGTATTATATAGTGTATAAAACAACATGCGTATTAATTATTACTTATATTGCATAATGTAACAACATAATATCAATTAATTGTTTGAAATCAAGAGCAGTTTCGTATCGATTCATTTTAAACAATAAGGAAAAAATTTAAATAAAATATAGTGTATACAATACATAAAAAGGTACTTACTTTTTTAACAGTGGTAGAGCCAAGCGGTAGCTTTTGCTGTCGCACGGATGGGCCAGCTCGAACCGGGGTGGTACCACGACCTCACAGAATACCAGCGTGAAGTAGAGGTTTACCTCTGCGTTGCGTTTGGTGAGTGCAGGTGGCCGGAGGCCCAATTCCCCCCCCCCCCCCCCCCATCAACATGGTAGTGGAATTAAATACAAGACTACCCCAGGAGGGTACCAGCACCCCTGGAGAATCCCTCGCTGAGCATCCACGAACAAACTACTTCACTCTTGAGCGTGGGTGCTCAGGCTGCCCCGCGTATTCTGGGGGGGGCAAAATTCCGCTCATGACTAATGCTGCTCGGGGCAAGCGGAGCAATACAACCAAGGCGACCCCTGTCACGCTATCCGTGAATTTTTGCAACATCAGGGGAATTCATTCCAACCTTAACGCTGTCCATTACCATCTAGAGACGGCGAAGCCGGCCTTGCTCTTTTTAACCGAGACTCAGGTGTCCTCTCCGGCTGATACTTCATATCTCTCCTACCCGGGATACAAATTGGAACACTCCTTTGTGCCCCGGGCTGGAGTTTGCGTATACGTCAGAGAGGACATCTGTTTTCGACGCCTCGGCAGCCTTGAAGGTACGGACCTGTCCATCCTATGGCTGCGCGTAGACAGCGACGACCATCCCCGCGTCTACGGGTGCCTCTATAGGTCCCATAGCGGTAATGCCGACACAGACCGACTCATCGACCACGTCCAAATGGCTGCAGACTCCGTGCTACAACAGGTCCCATCCGCAGAGATCGTGATACTCGGTGATTTCAACGCCCACCACGCTGAATGGCTTGGTTCTCGTTTAACCGATCATGCGGGTAGATCTGTCTACGACTTTGCTTTGGCATATGGTCTAACACAACTGGTTACTTCGCCTACGCGGATCCCAGATGTGGAAGACCATGTACCTTCCCTGTTGGACCTTCTGCTGACCTCTCATCCGGACGGATATCAGGTCTCCGTCGATGCCCCTCTGGGCTCTTCGGACCATTGTCTGATCCGGAGCACGGTGCCACTCACGCTCCAATCGCAGTTGCGATCTACAGCTTGCCGCCGTGTTTGGCACTATAGGTCAGCTGATTGGGATGGGATGCGGTCTTTTTTTGCATCCTACCCTTGGGGGCGGGTTTGCTTCTCGCCGGAAGATCCCAGCGTTGTTGCCGATTCTGTTGCTGATGTGGTGCTTCAGGGTATGGAACTTTTTATTCCATCCTCTGTGGTGCCCATTGGAGGCAGATCCCAGCCATGGTTTGATCGCTCCTGTAAAATAGCATCACGCTATAAGCAGGAGTGCTACCGGGCCTGGGCTGACGCATCAACGTCTCGGGATTTAAACACCAGCGCACTTAAAAAGAAGTATAATTCCGCCTCCAGGTCCTTCAAAAGCGTCATTGCCAAGGCAAGGTCTGAGCACATCGGCAGAATTGGCGAGAAGCTAGTTCGCCTTCCTTCGGGAACCCGTGCATTCTGGTCTCTCGCCAAGGCTGTCCAAGGGAACTTCTGTCAGCCATCCCTCCCATCTCTGCACAGAGAGGACGACTCACTGGCCCATGCCGCAAAAGAGAAAGCCGATCTGTTGTGCTCTCTTTTTGCGTCTAACTCGACTCTAGATGACGGGGGGAACACACCGCCGACCATCCCGCGATGTGAGTGCTCCATGCCGGATGTGCGATTTACACAGCGCTCGGTTCGCAAAGCACTCTTCTCCCTGGACGTCAGTAAGTCGAGTGGGCCCGATGGAGTCCCTCCCATTGTGCTGAAGACGTGTGCTCCAGAGTTGGCACCGGTTTTAACGCGTCTTTTCCGGTACTCCTACTCCCAAGGCGTAGTCCCGAATTCATGGAAGACAGCTTTGGTCCACCCGATCCCTAAAAAAGGCGACCGCTCAGACCCGTCCAACTACAGGCCTATCGCCATCACCTCCTTGTTCTCCAAAATAATGGAATCCATTATAAACTGCCAGCTCATGAGGTACCTTGAGGATCACCAGCTGATCAGTGACCGTCAGTACGGTTTTCGTCGGGGTCGATCAGCAGGTGATCTTCTAGTTTACTTAACTCATAGATGGGCGGAGGCAGTAGAGTCCAAGGGGGAGGCATTGGCCGTTAGTTTGGACATAGCGAAGGCCTTCGATCGGGTCTGGCACAAGGCGCTTCTTTCGAAGCTTCCTTCCTATGGGCTTCCCGAGAAATTGTGCAAATGGATCACCAGTTTCCTTGCTGATCGGAGCATCAAGGTCGTAGTAGACGGTGCATGCTCTGATTACAAGCCTATCAACGCTGGTGTTCCACAAGGCTGCGTGCTATCACCAACGCTGTTCCTCCTGCATATCAATGATATGTTGCTAACTGGTAGCATTCATTGCTATGCAGACGACAGCACTGGGGATGCCTTATATACCGGCCGTGCCAATATTTCTCGGGAAAACGTCGCCGAGTACCGGGACAAACTTGTGTCTGAAGTCGAGTCTTTGCTTAACAAAGTCTCGGATTGGGGCCGACTAAATCTAGTCCAGTTCAATCCCCAGAAGACACAAGTTTGCGCGTTTACCGCTAAAAAGAACCCCTTTGTCGTATCTCCTCAGTTTCAAGGCACTCCCCTTGCTGCCTCAGCCAGTATCGGAATCCTTGGCGTCGACATATCGAATAGCGTGCAGTTTCGTGGTCACTTGGAAGGGAAGGCCAAATTGGCCTCTAAAAAGCTTGGCGTGCTCAGCAGAGCGAGACAGTATTTCATGCCGGCACATCGCTTGCAACTTTACAAAGCTCAAGTTCGGCCCCACATGGAATACTGTTCTCATGTCTGGGCCGGGGCACCCCAGTGCCAGCTCCTTCCACTTGACCGCATCCAGCGCAGAGCGATTCGAATCGTCGACGACCGAGTTCTTTTCGATCGGCTCGATACACTGGCACTGCGTAGAGATGTTGCATCTCTTTGCGTATTTTATCGCATCTATCACGGGGAGTGCTCTGAGGAATTGTTCGGACTAATTCCAGCCGCTCAATTTCACCATCGCACGTCGCGACAAAACTCGCGTTACCATCCGTACCATCTGGATGATTGGCGGTCCACCACTGTGCGATTTAGAAGAAGTTTTCTCCCTCGCACAACTTCTTTGTGGAATCAATTACCACCAGCGAATTTTCCGAACCGATACGACTTAGGAACCTTCAAGAAAAGAGCTTACACCTTTCTAAAAGGCCGGCAACGCATCTGCAATCCCCCTGGTGTTGCGGTTGTTCATGGGCGGCGGTAGTCACTTACCATCAGGTGAGCCGCATGCTCTTTTGCCCCCTATTCTATAAAAAAAAAAAAAAAAAAAAAACTTGATCTCATGGGTACAAAAAAAAGGAAATATGCTTATTTTCTGTAGAATTATTCATGCATACTGTACAACTATTAGGCATTTTTGCTTATACAGAACACTTATTATATATCTATATAAATTTATAATAACTTAATTCTTAATTATTTTAATTAAAATACTTAAATCTAATTATTTAATAATTGCAAAAAAAACTTAATAAATTAATTGATGTATAAAATTTCGAAATATTGTTGACCTATTTATTTAAATGCGCACGAAGCCCTTTCATGGATACTCTGA